GAAGAAGCCGGTCAGACCTGGCAGACCCAAGCGTATAGTGAGGGTCTGCTGGGAACGTCTCGCTGAGCCCCCTGTCAGACGGACTTTCAACTCACACCTCCGGGAGAGTTTCTCCCAGGTCCCGGCGGAGGAGGGGGACATGGAGTCCGAGTGGACCATGTTCTCTGCCTCAATCGCCGATGCGGCGGCTCGTAGCTGTGGTCGCAAGGTCTCTGGTGCTGGTCCCGGCGGCAACCCCCGAACTCGGAGAGTCCATGGAGCATGACTATCGGTCGGCCTCGAAGAAATTCTGGCAAACCATCCGGCGCCTCAGGCGGGGGAAGCAGTTCACACCATGTACGGTGCGGGTGGAGAGCTGCTGACCTCGACTGGGGATATTGTCGGGCGGTGGAAGGAATACTTTGAGGTTCTCCTCAATCCCCCCGTCACGTCCTCTGTTTCAGAGGCAGAGGCTGAGGATGTTGGGGCGGATACATCCATCTCCCTGGCTGAGGTCACCAAGGTGGTTGGTAGCCTCCATGGTGGCAAGGCTCCGGGTGTGGATGAGATCCGCCCTGATTATCTAAAGTCTCTGGATGTTGTAGGACTGTCTCTGCTGACACGTCTCTGCAACATCGCGTGGCGATCGGGGGCAGTGCCAATGGAGTGGCGGACCGGGGTGGTGGTCCCTCTCTACAAGAAGGGGGACCGGAGGGTGTGTTCCAATTATCGTGGGATCACACTCCTCAGCCTCCCCGGTAATGTCTACTCCAAGGTACTGGAGAGGAGGCTACGGCCGATGGTCGAATCTCGGATCCAGGAGGGGCAGTGTGGTTTTCTTCCCGGTCGCGGAACACTGGACCAGCTCTATACTCTCCATCGGATACTCGAGGGTTCATGGGAGTTCGCCCAACCTGTCCACATGTGCTTTGTGGATTTGGAGAAGGCGTTCGACTGTGTTCCCCGGGGTGTCCTTTGGGGGGTTCTCCGGGAGTACGGGGTCGGAGGTCCTCTGCTGAGGGCCATCCGATCCCTGTATGACCGGAGCCAGAGCTTTGTTCGCATTGCCGGCAGTAAGTGTTGGCCTCCGACAGGGCTGCCCTTTGTCACCGGTTCTGTTCACTGTATTTATGGACAGAATATTGTTGTATTAAATATAGACTAAAGGCAGATGTGAATTTGATTGACCCGGAATTGAACTCTGTCTCTTTCCCAAGCAAAAAGACCTGGTCTCCCTTTGTTCCTTGGTAGTCCAAAAGTGCAGAAATATGAGTTAATGATAGTAAGTAAGTAAGTTAGTAAGTTATTATTTATATACCGCCTTTTCACTGCAGATCTGAGTCTCAAAGCGGTTTACAATTGTTAATTTTGGGCATTTGTCTCTCACTCCACACAGAGATGGGAGCAGGGCCAGTACAGGAGGCACATGCCAGAACTATTGGACATATTTTTAGTGGTAGGGGAAACCGGAGTACCCGGAGGAAACCTACGCAGACACGGGGAGAACATGCAAACTCCACTCAGAAAGGCCCTGGTCCGGCCGGGATTCGAACCCAGGACCTTCTTGCTGAGAGGCGAGAGTGCTATCCACTCAGCCACCGTGCCGCATAGTTAATCTGGGGGGATTCTGCTAATCCTTTCGTTGTTTGAAGAAGGAGGTGGACCTTGAAAAGCCTCCTGTCTTATCTCAAGGAAGTAATATTTCTATAGAATAAGGGAGGGGTAGTGTGTGTGTGAATGATTTCTGTTTTAGGTTTGGCGAGACGAAGGAAAAGGCCGGACCCTGGACCGGAAGCTGCCTGATACGACACGCCCCCTTCTTCCTGGACATCTGCTCTTTTTATGCTTGGGCTGGAGGCTTGGAGTCAGTCAGCGCAGGGCCAGAGAGGGACAGCATAGCATAGTTTTAGGAGCTCTCTTTTGTTTGAATGTTCTGTATCTGATTGTCAAGATAAATTAAATACAGATGTTAAACTTGGAGAATCTTTGTCTGATTTCTGTACCAAATTTTGAACACGTCAGTCAAATCTTTTTTTGACCCACAATATCTAGGCGCAGCCAGGGGTCGGAGGGGGTCCGGTTCGGAGACCACAAGATTTCATCTCTGCTGTTTGCAGACGATGTTGTCCTGTTGGCTCCAACGAACCAGGACCTGCAGCATGCACTAGGACGGTTTGCAGCCGAGTGTGAAGCGGCTGGGATGAGAATCAGCACCTCCAAATCCGAGGCCATGGTGCTCGACCGGAAAAAGGTGCCTTGCCCTCTGCAGGTGGGTGGAGAGGTCCTTTCTCAAGTGGAGGAGTTCAAGTATCTCGGGGTCTTGTTCACGAGTGAGGGAAGAATGGAGCGTGAGATTGACAGGCGGATCGGTGCAGCGTGCGCAGTGATGCGGTCGCTGTATCGGACCGTTGTGGTAAAGAGGGAGCTGAGCCGAAAGGCAAAGCTCTCGATTTACCGGTCAATCTTCGTTCCCTCCCTCACCTATGGTCATGAGCTTTGGGTAATGACCGAAAGAACGAGATCGCGGATACAAGCGGTCGAAATGAGCTTCCTCCGTAGAGTGGCTGGGCGCTCCCTTAGAGATAGGGTGAGGAGCTCAGTTACACAGGAGGAGCTCGGAGTAGAGCCGCTGCTTCTCCACGTCGAGAGGAACCAGTTGAGGTGGCTCGGGCATCTGTTCCGGATGCCTCCTGGACGCCTCCCTGGGGAGGTGTTCCGGGCACGTCCCACCGGGAGGAGGCCCCGCGGAAGACCTAGGACACGCTGGAGGGACTATGTCTCCCAGCTGGCCTGGGAACGCCTTGGGGTCCCCCCGGACGAGCTGGAGGAAGTGTGTGTGGATAGGGAAGTCTGGGCGTCTCTGCTTAGACTGCTGCCCCCGCGACCCGGCAACGGATAAAGCGGAAGAAAATGGATGGATGGATGGATGTTTTTTCAACTGTAAAAATGTATTGAGAGTTTGTTTGTAGTGATTTTGACAATTGGCTCACAGTAAAAAACACATTTTGACTCAAATTTTAAGAATGGACTGTAATAATAAAAAATAAAAAAACAAAAAGGTTTGCATATGTCACGTTGTGTGTGATGAGTCTATATTATATAATGATAGGGATGTAACAATATCAAAATCTCGATTCGATTTGGTACAATATTTATTGCGATATTGTGGAAATAGCTTATGGTATTGTGTTTTTGATTATGATAACAAAAAATGAAAGAAGCATGGCTAATCTCAATCAAACATGTAGCAAAGGTGATCTTGTTCTTCTATGTGAGTGTGTGTGTGTGTGTTCTTGTAATCATCACGTTGTGGGGACTGAAATCTGTTAACACAGTCACGCCATGGGGACCCATTTCCTTAGGAGGACCAAAAACCAGGTCCCCATAAGGAAAACCATTTAGATGAATGGGGGAGCTGTTTAGAAGGTGCTGGGCAAAGTTTTAGAGAAGGCTCGTAAGTGATGTTTAATGTGTGTGTTGTGGTTGCTCATTGGCACCTCTGGTGGTAATGACTGGTAAGACACATTGGTTTCCACACACACTTTGCATATATAATTAAGTACCGCCCACATCCTGGTCCCCAAGAGTGATGATCTTGGAATCAACTGTTTTCAGCTGCTTTCAAATGCAACAGACAGGTAAGCATAATTTGCAATCATTTTAGAACAAATATTGTATATATGCATGTTATTTAATAGCAACCAAGTTATTGCTAATTCACTTTTGTGGCCTGAATTGCTGTGGTTTTAATGTACAGACTAATGCAACTGGTTCGAGCTAGCATTGGCAACTTGTTGGAGCTAGCATTAGCAACTAGCTTGGACAGCAGATTCTACCAAACAGCACATGGGTCAATGTTCCCTTCTAAAAGGACATTCAGATGGCGAACAGTTGTCTTCGCAGTAAACGAGTGGTGACTAAATTACATAAGTAGAGCTTCTTATGTACTAGAAGTAGCTAGCTAGGAAGTTAGCACCGATTTTTGCTAACAAGCTAGTGTCAGAGTAAACAGGCTAAAGAATCTGAGTACTCTTTGCTGGTAGCTATACTAAAGACTGTATCTGTTCAATGCTCATGCAAAACGAATAAACTGTGTAATAAGTACAGATTCAGTGATTTACTTTGCATGGTTTCCCTTTTTAAGCAAGATTAGATGTGATTTTAATATACAACCTGTTAGCATTAGCAACTAGCTCGTATAGTAATCAACTTGTGTGTGGTACTTTCAAGAAGCAACTAAAGGTTTCTCAGTACATATACAGGTTCTGAATGATACAACTAAAGCTTTCTATGTAATAGCAGTAACCTATAGTGGCTTTACTTATTAAGAAGTAGTTTGCAGTTTAGTTTTATTTTAAGAATTAAGTGGGTCAAATAGCAGAAATATTTAATTTCTTCAAGTAGAAAGGAAAAAGAAAAGTTACTGAAGTACTGGATGAATATATTAATTGAGTACCTGACTAAATGTTGAAAGTAAAGGTTTGATTTGTAATTATGTATTAAAATATATTAGATATAGAAGATATTTGGAAGTAATATAGTAGAAACAGCTGTACCAAACCTACAGATAAAATAAATTACAAATGTAATAGAATTGTTTCAAAAAATGACTCAAGTGAAATCATAATTATGCATTCTGTTGTTTCAGTTTTTGATGATTTAAATGGCACCACGAATTAGCCCAGAAAAACCTCTGTCTGTGGGGTTTGAAAATTTAGCTGAAAAAGCTGTCTCTGTATTATATAATTTGAATTGATAAATATAGGTAAGCTTTGAGTATGTAAGCTTGGTGATTGTAGCACTATACTGTATAATGTATGTACTATATGTGTTTAAAAGTTTTTATATATCAATATATATATTTCTTTTTTTTCAGCATTGATGCTTCAGTACAAGATGGCACATTTGGGCGTATTGTTAATGATGACCACATCCACCCAAATTGTAAGATGAAAAGAAGCATTACGAGACAAAAAAGAAGGAGAAGAAATTACTTATGATTATGGTGGAGATGACTGCCCATGGAGAGAAAGAGTATGTCACAAACACACGCTTAAAATAATTGCTTATTTCTAACCTAATACAAAGAATGCCCTTTCAGTTACTGCTATTGACTTGAACTATGTTTGAAAGTTTGTTTCATTGGTCCCCATAAAGAATGAATGGAAGTGTGTGAAATGGCCTCCTATGGTGGTGATTTTACATTGTATGATTGTTTTAGTTATGACTTGGAGCTTGGAGTTTTCTGCTATAGACAAGGCTTTAGGTAGACTTCAGGAAGTCTAGTTTAGACCTTTATAAACCCTGATTCTCCACTGTGAGATCAATTAAGTTTCTCTTATCTTGTTTCATGGTGATCCAGACCTGGTGGTACATTTCAGTATTTTATAACATGGGGCTTGGTTGGAAAAATTGGAGCACTGTTTTAGACTTATAGATTATTATAGTGTTCTATTGTAAAGTCTTATACCTTCTGTCTCCCACAGATGACCCACGTGTCAGCAGATGGCTTTACAACAGGCTTTCTTGATCATTCTGACCATTCTTTGTCAGTTCTGAGCAAGCTTTTTAACATTTGAAGTCAATTATATAAGATTTGTTATGTTTAACTCATTTAACTATATTCAGTAAGTAGATAAGTGGAAGTAGAATATTTTTAGCCTTTTTCAAATGAACCATCACAATGTCCCCATAATAAATTGAGTGACTTCTGTTGAGTTTAATCATGTGTGAAAGTCTGTTGAAATGGTCCCCGTAAAGAAGGAATAGAAGTGTTTGAAATGGTCCTAAAAAGGTCCCCATAACGCACTAGGAGTGACTGATGATGAGTGGAATTGTTTGTGAAAGTTCATTGAATTGGTCCCCATGAAGGAATTGAGAGGGGTGTGAAAAGGTCCTCATGAGACGTGTTCCAGACTCTAGATGTGTGTGTGTACAAACAAGTTGGGTTTACATCTGTCAAACTATGATTTGTGTACTGCTGGTAATACTTGGGCCCCCTTGGGTGGTTCTTTAAATTTAAATTTGTGATCTCTGTTCTAGACCATGATTATTTTAGTGTTTTATTATAAATCCTTATACCTTCTGTCTCCCACGGATGACCCATGTGACAGCAGATGGCTCAACTACAGGTTTTCTTGATCATTCTGACCAGCCTCAGTGCCACATGAATATGTCATTTGGAAACGATGCCTATCAGATTAAGGTAAGATCATATTTATCAATCATGACAAAATACCAGAGGTTCTTTGTCAGTTCTGAAATGTTTTTATAACATCTGAAGTCAATTATCTTAGATTTGTTATGTGTCACTCGTTAAACTATATTCAGTAAGTGGAATTGTCGAAGGAAAGTATTTTTTACCTTTTTTTGGTCATGGCAGACGAGAACTTTTTACTCAAATGTTTCTTTAAATTGAACTCTCCCGATGTCCCCATAATACACTTTGAGTGACTTCTATTAAACATGTGTGAAAGTCCATTGAATTGGTCCCCGTAAAGGAGGAATGGAAGTGTGTGAAATGACCATCAAAATGTCCCCATAACACACTTTGAGTGACTGCTGATGAGTTGAACCGTGTGTGAAAGTCCATTGAATTGGTCCCCATGAAGGAATGGGGCGGGGGTGTGAAAAGGTCCTCATGAGGCATGTCCCCGACCATAGATGTGTGTATGTGCAAATAAGTTTGTTTTACATCTGTCAATCTATGATTTGTGCACTGCTGGTAGTACTTTGGCCTTCTTGGGTGGTTATATTAAATTAAATTTGTGATCTCTGTTTGAGATGGTGATTATTATAGTGTGTTATTGTAAATCCTCATACCTTCTGTTTCCCACAGATGACCCACGTGACAGCAGATTGCACTACTCCAGGTTCTGTTGATCATTCTGACCAGCCTCAGTGCCACATGAATACGTCATTTGCAAACGATGCCCCTCAGAAACAGGTAGGATAATTTTTATCAATCATGACAAAATACCAGAGGTTCTTTGTCAGTTCTGAAAAGGTTTTATAACATTTGAAGTCAATTATCTTAGATTTGTTTTGTGTCACTCATTAAACTATATTCAGTAAGTGGAATAGTGGAAGGAGAATACTTTAAGCCTTTTTTGGTCTTTGCAGACAAGGACTTTTTACTTAAATGTTTCTTTCAAATTAACCCTCACGATGTCCCCATAAAACACTTTGAGTGACTTCTATTAAACATGTGTGAAAGACCATTGAATTGGTCCCCGTAAAGGAGGAATGGAAGTGTGTGAAATGGTCATCAAAATGTCCCCATAACACACTTTGAGTGACTGCTGATGAGTTGAACCGTGTGTGAAAGTCCATTGAATTGGTCCCCATGAAGGAATGGGGCGGGGGTGTGAAAAGGTCCTCATGAGACATGTCCCCGACCCTAGATGTGTGTATGTGTAAATACGTTTGTTTTACATCTGTCAAACTATGATTTGTGTACTTCTGGTAGTACTTTGGCCTTCTTGGGTGGTTCTATTAAATTAAATTTGTGATCTCTGTTTAAGACGGTGATTATTCAAGTGTTTTATAGTAAATCCTCATACCTTCTGATTCACACAGATGACCCACGTGACAGCAGATTGCACTACTCCAGGTTCTGTTGATCATTCTGACCAGCCTCAGTGCCACATGAATACGTCATTTGCAAACGATGCCCCTCAGAAACAGGTAGGATAATTTTTATCAATCATGACAAAATTCCAGAGGTTCTTTGTCAGTTCTGAGAAAGCTTTTCAACATTTGAAGTCATTTGTATAAGATTTGTCATGTGTAACTCATTAAACTATATTCAGTAAGTGGAATAGTGGAAGGAGAATACTTTAAGCCTTTTTTTGTCATTGCAGACAAGGACTTTTTACATAAATGTTTCTTTCAAATGAACCCTCACGATGTCCCCATAAAACACTTTGAGTGACTTCTATTAAACATGTGTGAAAGTCCATTGAATTGGTCCCCGTAAAGGAGGAATGGAAGTGTGTGAAATGGTCATCAAAATGTCCCCATAACACACTTTGAGTGACTGCTGATGAGTTGAACCGTGTGTGAAAGTCCATTGAATTGGTCCCCATGAAGGAATGGGGCGGGGGTGTGAAAAGGTCCTCATGAGACATGTCCCCGACCCTAGATGTGTGTATGTGTAAATACGTTTGTTTTACATCTGTCAAACTATGATTTGTGTACTTCTGGTAGTAATTTGGCCTTCCTGGGTGGTTCTATTAAATTAAATTTGTGATCTCTGTTTAAGACGGTGATTATTCAAGTGTTTTATAGTAAATCCTCATACCTTCTGATTCACACAGATGACCCACGTGACAGCAGATTGCACTACTCCAGGTTCTGTTGATCATTCTGACCAGCCTCAGTGCCACATGAATACGTCATTTGCAAATGATGCCCCTCAGAAACAGGTAGGATAATTTGTATCAATCATGACAAAATTCCAGAGGTTCTTTGTCAGTTCTGAGAAAGCTTTTCAACATTTGAAGTCATTTGTATAAGATTTGTCATGTGTAACTCATTAAACTATATTCAGTAAGTGGAATAGTGGAAGGAGAATACTTTAAGCCTTTTTTTGTCATTGCAGACAAGGACTTTTTACTTAAATGTTTCTTTCAAATGAACCCTCACGATGTCCCCATAAAACACTTTGAGTGACTTCTATTAAACATGTGTGAAAGTCCATTGAATTGGTCCCCGTAAAGGAGGAATGGAAGTGTGTGAAATGGCCATCAAAATGTCCCCATAACACACTTTGAGTGACTGCTGATGAGTTGAACCGTGTGTGAAAGTCCATTGAATTGGTCCCCATGAAGGAATGGGGCGGGGGTGTGAAAAGGTCCTCATGAGGCATGTCCCCGACCCTAGATGTGTGTATGTGCAAATAAGTTTGTTTTACATCTGTCAAACTATGATTTGTGTACTTCTGGTAGTACTTTGGCCTTCTTGGGTGGTTCTATTAAATTAAATTTGTGATCTCTGTTTAAGACGGTGATTATTCAAGTGTTTTATAGTAAATCCTCATACCTTCTGATTCACACAGATGACCCACGTGACAGCAGATTGCACTACTCCAGGTTCTGTTGATCATTCTGACCAGCCTCAGTGCCACATGAATACGTCATTTGCAAACGATGCCCCTCAGAAACAGGTAGGATAATTTTTATCAATCATGACAAAATTCCAGAGGTTCTTTGTCAGTTCTGAGAAAGCTTTTTAACATTTGAAGTCATTTGTATAAGATTTGTCACGTGTAACTCATTAAACTATATTCAGTAAGTGGAATAGTGGAAGGAGAATACTTTAAGCCTTTTTTGGTCATTGCAGACAAGGACTTTTTACCTAAATGTTTCTTTCAAATGAACCCTCACGATGTCCCCATAAAACACTTTGAGTGACTTCTATTAAACATGTGTGAAAGTCCATTGAATTGGTCCCCGTAAAGGAGGAATGGAAGTGTGTGAAATGGCCATCAAAATGTCCCCATAACACACTTTGAGTGACTGCTGATGAGTTGAACCGTGTGTGAAAGTCCATTGAATTGGTCCCCATGAAGGAATGGGGTGGGGGTGTGAAAAGGTCCTCATGAGACATGTCCCCGACCCTAGATGTGTGTATGTGCAAATAAGTTTGTTTTACATCTGTCAAAATATGATTTGTGGACTTCTGGTAGTACTTTGGCCTTCTTGGGTGGTTCTATTAAATTAAAATTGTGATCTCTGTTTAAGACGGTGATTATTCAAGTGTTTTATAGTAAATCCTCATACCTTCTGATTCACACAGATGACCCACGTGACAGCAGATTGCACTACTCCAGGTTCTGTTGATCATTCTGACCAGCCTCAGTGCCACATGAATACGTCATTTGCAAACGATGCCCCTCAGAAACAGGTAGGATAATTTGTATCAATCATGACAAGATTCCAGAGGTTCTTTGTCAATTCTGAGAAAGCTTTTTAACATTTGAAGTCATTTGTATAAGATTTTTCATGTGTAACTCATTAAACTATATTCAGTAAGTGGAATAGAAGGAGAATACTTTAAGCCTTTTTTGGTCATTGCAGACAAGGACTTTTTACTTAAATGTTTCTTTCAAATGAACCCTCACGATGTCCCCATAAAACACTTCTGTTGAGTTTAATCATGTGTGAAAGTCCATTGAAACGGTCCCCGTAAAGAAGGAATGGAAGTGTGTGAAATAGCCCTCACAATGTCCCCATAGCACACCTGGAGTGACTGCTGATGAGTTGATCAGTGTGTGAAAGTCCATTGAATTGGTCCCCATGAAGGAATTGAGAGGGGTGTGAAAAGGTCCTCATGAGACGTGTCCCCGACCCTAGATGTGTGTATGTACAAACAAGTTGGTTTTACATCAGTCAAACTATGATTTGTGTACTGCTGGTAGTATTTGGGACTGCTTGAGTGGTCTTTTGATTTTAATTTGTAATCACTGTTTTAGACGGTGATTATTTTAGTGTTCAATTGTAAATCCTCATACCTTCTGTCTCCCACAGATGACACTTATACCACAGATTTTTTGATCATTCTGACCAGCCTCAGTCCCACATGAATACGTCAGTTGGAAACGATGCCAATCAGAAACAAGTAGGATCCTATTCATCAATCATGACAAAATACCAGAGATTCCTTGTCAGTCCTGAGAAAGCTTTTTTAACCTTTGAAGACAATTATACAATATTTTTTATGTGTAAGTCATTTAACTATATTCAGTAAATGGATAGTGGAAGAGTGGATGAGTGAGTTCTGTTGAGTTTAATTATGTGTGTGAGTCCGTTGAATTGGTCCCCATAAATAAGGAATGGAGTGGGGTGTGAAAAGGTCCTCAAGAGAAGTGTTGTCGTTTTTTGTCTTGTTTGTTTATATTAGTTTTTTTTTATTTACAGATTCTTGCACAGCACACATGGGAAGTCGATTATGTACCAAAACTGATAAGGACAAAAAGTGTCATAGTAAGTCAGTACAAAATGTACCTATAAAACTTGTTATCATCCAGTGAAGTTAAATGTGTCATTCATTTATTTTGTAAGTATTTTTTTTCAATGAATTGCATTCTGACTGTTTTTTTTTTTACTTTTTTGGAATTCTTAGTTGTTAAAATGTTTTTTCTTGTTTTATTCAGATGAAAGACACAAATCATCTTGACTGTGAGTTTTATGATTCTACAATGGATAGTTCAGACAACTATGTCCCAGATACCTCGTCTGATTCAGAAAGTGATAGTGATCCAAACTTCGTCATGAAACAAAATTACAACTCATTCTTGATGATTCTATCCCTGCAAACAATCTTGAATGGGACTTCACAACTTCATTCAAGATGCTAAGATGTGTTTCAGCTGAAACATCTTCTGCAGTTGAACTCAGTTCAAGTCAGGCCACTACAAATATGGCTGTTAAGGCATACAACAAAAATGGTGTACAAAGAATATATGACGAAAGACATTTTTTTGCTCTGCATTTGAAGCAAAATGTGCTTTCATCAAGAAATAAGCTGTTCACAATCCTAGCAATAAAAAATATAAAATTGGTTAATAAAGGCACATTTACAAAGACAGTCTGTGCATTCTTTGGCCTTAACATTGTACTTATTAGATTTACAAAGGGTCCCCATGAGTAAATTATAAAAGTGTGTGAATTATGCAAAAAATATGCAAATCTGGTCCTTCTAAGTGACATTGACTCGTTTTTTTATAGGTCCCCACAGTACACTGCCAGAATATCATTTCATCAATTGACACATTTTAAGATGTGTATATGCTTACAATGTTTTGTTAAGTAACTCAATTTTTTTTTATGACTCTAGAACCTCTAGAAAGGGTGGTCCCCACATGTGATGATTTGAAACCTGGTCCCCATCAAGAATGGAAACCAGTATGTGTGTGTGTATGTGTGTGTGTGTGTGTGTGCTCTTTTTTCCTTCTAGAACGTACGATGCAATCCCGACATGAGCTCTCTATAGGGCGATAAGGTTAGAATATTGCTGTGGTGCTTTCTGTGGCACTAGGTCACAAAGATTTACTTCCACTAACACACCACTCAGGACTCCTACATCATATTAATATTTCATTGTTGCTTTTTGCACTTTGTCATGTCCCAGTCTCGTTTACCAGACTCCTTTGTTTAAGCGAAAAAACTACACGATATTCTAAAACCGGTATGAGACAACCATCCAGACAACCATCCATCTACCATCCAGACAACCATCCATCCATTTACTTCCCTTTTGTCCATTTCTGGCAATCAGCTGCCACCCAATACACAGAGCACCTGCCCCTCACTGCCCCTCCTGCAGGTAGAGAATGGTTGCTCTGTCGATGAGAGCATGGCCTTGATTTTTCATCAGGGCTTAAGGGAAAGTGGGGTTAAGTAGTAGTAGTAGTAGTAGTGTGTTTATTTCGAAATACATGCGCAATACAAAAAAAAAAAAAAAAAAGAAGAAACATATAAACATATATATGCACAATTCGAAAAGGAGTAGGTAGAAGTGAAACTTATGCTTCCTACCCAAATGATATACAGGCAAATTTCTCTCAGATATACAATTGACACTCGTCTCCATGAATAGTAATTTTAAATGCTGATTTAGCACCAATGATGTTCTTAGGTCTTGTTGTCACTGCCATTTTTACCCAAAGCTGTTTATTTAATGTTAACAAAGTTATGTATGTAGACCCTACATAGTGCAGTGCATTAAAAACAGTGGGTAGAATGAGCCAGTCGAGAGAAGGTAATAGCCCCCACTCAACCCGCCCCACTCCCAACATCCCTGACCAATGGAAATGTAGGAACATTTGCGTTCTATATGCTTGCTGTGTGGTGCGTTAAAAACGAGGTGTTAAGTGTCTCTTCCAAGGACACAATGACAACAGACATCAGTAGGAGTCGGTGAAGATGGTCTTCTGGTGGGCTCCAACTCATGACCATCAGGCTCAAAAGCGACTATCGCACCTACCCAACTACCTACATAATTTAGTTTAATAAAATCAAACAAAAAAGATGAGGTGAAAATATCATGAAAATTACGAGGCTTTGGTAAAACAGACTAAAAAAGTAAAGTATCCTCCTCTTTAATCTGGAAAAATCACAACAAATGATCAAATATGAGGTGTTAAATGCTTAAATCAAGTGGGTTTTTATCTTAATTCGAGTTAATTCTGACTGTCTTAAGAAAAGCATGACTTCGACCCTCGTTCTACAGCCTGACTCCTGCACTGCGTGGTCTCTTGTGTTTGAATTGTTTTATTCTCTGATCTGTGTTGGTGAATTCTACGATTTTGTTCAGTCTTTCAAGATAACTATTGTTGTGATTAATTGAATTGAATTGAAGATTTGCCAATGGGACATAATTATTTAGTTTTATTTCAAGAACTGTTGCTTTATTTTCTCATTTAGATACTTTTCTTGTATCTTTTTATTCTTGGGTTTCATATGACGTCAGGGCAGTGGCGCAAATAACAAACGTGGGACAGGACGTGACATACCCTGGCGGTGCAGTCTGCCGGGTTTATACACGGAGATATGTATCGTAGAAGAAGCGCTGTCAAAATGCCATCTTTGTGTGCGGTGTACGCTTGTAGCAACCGCACAAATAGAGAGAAGGACAAGAGTTTCTTCCGTGCCTGTGGTCTCTTATAAAGGAGCACACTGAAAAAATCACTCGATTGAGGCGATTGAGGTGGATCAGGACTTTCCCAGATAAGCGCCCCCTGCGGGCCACCTGAATGAAACGCAACGATTTCATTTGTTTGTTTTTTTTTCCAAAAATGCCAGAAATCAAGACTCTTTTGAGAAATATTTTTTAATTCTCCCTGAGAATTGAGTGGCCCCCTCCCGATTAAGAATGTTACAACAACCGTACACCGCACAGGATGAGAGCTTTTTGACTCCAAAACAGACACGATTTACATGGTTTTCAATGGGAGCAAAACTGAGTTGTCCCACCTCTGCTCATGCCCCCTACAGGCCAGTTTAATGAAACCCTAGAATAACAAGATTTTTTGCGTGTCCCATTGCAAATCTGCATGTACAAAGATACATCTATCAAAATTTGATCCATTTTAGGCTTGCTTTTCATTGCTTTTTACAGTGCAGGGTTGGTAACATCCGCTCTAAGCAAACAATCTTCTTTCCATCTTCTGAGGACACGCTGGGAGAGAGCCGTGTGCAGAGCGCGCCTGTAAAGTGCAGAGGTCTGTTTTATAATTCTGTTTGAGTTTGTGAGCGCTGCATCTACCCTGCCCCACCCCCACCTCTGCTCTGCACACCACCAGCACCCACAAGCACCCACCAGATCCCACCAGCAGCCACCAGCACCCACCGGCACCCACCAGCTCCCACCATCCCCCAGCATGTGTCTCTGAGGGGGATGCTAAAAGATAGATACATAAATGAGAAATATAGGCTACGCCACTCATTCCTCTGATTGTTTTAACTGAATCTACAGATTTCAAATGAATCATAAAGAGCCACAGGAGTCAGAGATGTTCATTTTATACAGAACAGATAAAATGAGCCCAAAAAATGCACTGTCTGTGTTCTTTCTAAGGGGCCATTGAAAGCCTGTCGCTGAGAAATGATCCAGGTGTAAACAAATCCATAAGTTTACATACATTTTGTATAAATAAAATTCATTAAAATGTAGAAAGTATTAGTAATCCAGAATAATTTAACCAATCTAATTCTTTAGTTGAGCCAATAGCGATCCCTTTGGTAAAAAATGGCATCAGATCAAAACATAGCTGTAACAAATGGGGTGTCTTGTACATGTGTAACCGTGGTTACTGCTGCACATGTTATGAGAACCACAGAGCAGGACTCGGAGAGCTGCAGCATGAATATATGAATGAAAGGCAAGTCCTGCTCAAAGACCAGGACACTGAGCTGCAGAAGCACATGGTACTGTATATTTGCAGGAAGCAGCAGCGTGCAAACGACAAGGAGACGAGAAGGAAAGGACATCTGTGAAGTGATCATTGTTCCTCACTCTTACAAATCAGAAGAAAGTCTAGGAAATGCAAAATTACAAATGTGATTTATGACATGGACATGAGGACAGTTCAAAATGTAGCTTATGCAATTACAATATAGCTTCCACTTAAATCTACATTTGGTCTTTCACACTCTGTGACATCCATCCATCCATCTATTTTCTTCCCCTTAATCCATTTCTGGGTCGGGGGGGGTGGCAGTCATAGATGCCACCCAAGTCACAGAGCACCAGCCCCTCACTGATCCTCTGCAGGTGGTGAGTCCACAGGAGGATGGCTGCTCTGTCAATGTGAGCATAGCCATGATCTCTCAGCAGGGGCTTTTGGGCAAAGTGGGGTTAAGTGTCTTGCCCAAGGACACAACGACAGCAGACATCAGTGGGAGTCGGTGGAGAAGGTGTCAAGGTGGGAATTGAACCCACAACCTTCAGGCCTGACAACCAATGCTCTACCGAATGTAGAGCATTGGCATTGTTATGAAGTTTTCCTTCCACTGGCTGACCTGCTGCTTCTCAGGCGTATGGCACATGTGCTGTGAAGGTGGGTGATATAGTATTGAGTATTACACATGTAACACAAGGACTCCTAGAGCTGTCATTTTGTCAGCTTCAATTCCAACCAATGGAAATTTAAGAAACTCAGGATCAGGATTTTTTGTTTAACCTTAACTTTACTAAGAGCTAAGACTGGTGAATATACCTTGAAATACAGCCAAAACAGCTTGTTGAAAGGCTGGCAAGTAAACTTAATGTTGCTATGGTAACTATGGTAACCAACTCAATCAACTTTTATTTGTAGTGCGTCATTCTACACAAGGCAACACAAAGTGCCTCACAACCCCTATCACATCAGGCATAAATCATAAACATAAAAAAATATTATTGAAACCCCACAGGGTATTAAAAACAAACATTAAGATCACAAGAAAAATCAAAAACAAATCAATTAAAATCAAACAAGTAATTAAAAACAATCAAATCAGACAATGCCCAAATACAGGCGAGTTTCCCATGGATCTTTGCAAGTTCCAGGCGAGTTCCGCTAGTCTTCCTGCGCCCATGCCGGCACAATGCGCCACTGAGCACAAACCATTAATTTGAATACGGCGCCATCTTGGATCGCCAGGGCTCGGTTATATCCCTGTGTCGTCTTTGGTTGCTCCTCCTGTTGTCTGAGCACCTGCCCTGCCCTCATGTGTCTTGTTAGTCTTGTATTTAGCCCTGTGTGTTCCTTCACTCCCTGTTCCGTCATTGTCATCTCTCGTCTGTTTCAGTTCTGTCCTCGTTTTTTTGCAGTTTTGCAATTCTGGTCCTTGTTTTTTTACCCACGTGACACAATGAATATGGCATATTCGTAGTTACTCACAAAGGCAATACAAATAATTCTGAGTCTGAATTTGTTGTAGTCTCAAAGTTAGGTGCCCCAGTTTTAATAAATGTTTAATCTTTTCTTGTTTTATTTGAACTCTTGTAACTAGAATACACTGGCCTTTGTGGGAAACTTAATCATATCATTGGTTTTAAAAAAGACATAACCTCTAAGGCCCTTTCCTTTCTATCCTATTGTTTGAATCCAGCCTCTATTACCTGAGTGAGACCTCCGTGTTTCAACCCGGTTTTACCCACATCAGCTTGAATGCATCTCAAACTTCTCTGTCGATAAGAGCTTCTTATTAAAATACAAGAATGAGTTGTGTTTCACCAAAGTGTGGAGGGTAGAACAATTATCTGCTACAGCTCTGATCTGATGGAGTCTCCGTCTCCCTGCGGACTCACGCTGCTTTGAGGCTGCAGCTAAAAATTGTCTTCAAAAAGAAAGTGTGGAGAGATGTAGATGGAAAGTCATTAGTTTAGTTCTGAAAGAGCGTATGTGACGCAGCTCCGGCTATTTTAATCGCCAAAATGAGAGAGATTATGCATGCGGCCAATTTCGGAACACGGGGTAAACAAACACGTCAATGCAAAACTAACTTGTGTAATCTGAAATTATGTGGTCAGCTAAAAAAAGTCCAATTCTCCATAGTCAGAAGAACTCATTTTGAGTTACAGTAGAACCATATATGGACTTCCAGGTACACCCACTCTGTCATTTAAACTTATTTGATTGACTCCTGCTCATTTTATTGCAGGCAGAGAAGATATGCTGTTGTCAAAGCACCTGTCCACTGAAGCTGGTGCGAGTGTGAAGGCTATGAACACGGGCCATGAGTTTATGGTGGTTTTAATTACTTAGATTTAATTATTTTTAAGGACTTGCAATAACCAGATTTTTTCTGCTGTGCCAGAAATGTCTCCAAATCCTTCCTTTTGAGCCAGGAATTTCCCCTGACTCAGCCTTCTCACTTTATTGTGGAGGACCTCTAACTTGATGAAGAGTAGAACTCAGAAATATTCAATAATAATCTGTTGATTCTCTGATCTGTTGCTGGTGAATCAACAACATTGTAAGTCCTCCGAGACGACTGCTGTTAGGATTTAGGGCTATACAAAAATACATTTAATTGAACAAACATTATACATATTCTTTTTTTTAAAAACATTTCTTGTGGCACACAAAGAGTGACACATGGCATCATTCACTCACTCCATGCACAGAGGTGAAACTACTGTAGCCACAGCTGCCCTGAGTTAGACAGATGGAAGGAAGTCCGTGCTTCTGGCCCCTCTGAACACCACCACATATACACTCATACTCAGCAAAGTGGGTGAAGTGACTGCTTATCTTCTGAGATCTCGGGGCATCAGACGTTCACCTGCAGGTGGCGCCACAGAGATCGTGTCTCCTCCTGCGTCATGAGGCACAGGCCACGCTGAAGAGGTCACCTGACCTCAGGTAGTTCACATAGTCTCCCTGACAGAAGAATGTTCTGTTAAAAAGCTTGAACAAAACTCCGACTGCTAAATAATATTTTTCTCCTTCCCAATTCGAGTTAGGCCACTACTGATTATGATTGACACTGCCTCCTAATATCTAATCCTCTTATTGATCACTTCACAGATGTCCTTTCCTTCTCGTCTCCTTGTCGTTTGCACGCTGCTGCTTCCTGCAAATATACAGTACCATGTGCTTCTGCAGCTCAGTGTCCTGGTCTTTGAGCAGGACTTGCCTTTCATTCATATATTCATGCTGCAGCTCTCCGAGTCCTGCTCTGTGGTTCTCATAACATGTGCAGCAGTAACCACGGTTACACATGTACAAGACACCCCATTTGTTACAGCTATGTTTTGATCTGATGCCATTTTTTACCAAAGGGATCGCTATTGGCTCAATTAAAGAATTAGATTGGTTAAATTATTCTGGATTACTAATACTTTCTACATTTTAATGAATTTTATTTATACAAAATGTATGTAAACTTATGGATTTGTTTACACCTGGATCATTCTCAGCGACAGGCTTTCAATGGCCCCTTAGAAAGAACACAGACAGTGCATTTTTTGGGCTCATTTATCTGTTCTGTATAAAATGAACATCTCTGACTCCTGTGGCTCTTTATGATTCATTTGAAATCTGTAGATTCAGTTAAAACAATCAGAGGAATGAGTGGCGTAGCCTATATTTCTCATTTATGTATCTATCTTTTAGCATCCCCCTCAGAGACACATGCTGGGGGGATGGTGGGAGCTGGTGGGTGCCGGTGGGTGCTGGTGGCTGCTGGTGGGATCTGGTGGGTGCTTGTGGGTGCTGGTGGTGTGCAGAGCAGAGGTGGGGGTGGGGCAGGGTAGATGCAGCGCTCACAAACTCAAACAGAATTATAAAACAGACCTCTGCACTTTACAGGCGCGCTCTGCACACGGCTCTCTCCCAGCGTGTCCTCAGAAGATGGAAAGAAGATTGTTTGCTTAGAGCGGATGTTACCAACCCTGCACTGTAAAAAGCAATGAAAAGCAAGCCTAAAATGGATCAAATTTTGATAGATGTATCTTTGTACATGCAGATTTGCAATGGGACACGCAAAAAATCTTGTTATTCTTAGGGTTTCATTAAACTGGCCTGTAGGGGGCATGAGCAGAGGTGGGACAACTCAGTTTTGCTCCCATTGAAAACCATGTAAATCGTGTCTGTTTTGGAGTCAAAAAGCTCTCATCCTGTGCGGTGTACGGTTGTTGTAACATTCTTAATCGGGAGGGGGCCACTTAATTCTCAGGGAGAATTAAAAAATATTTCTCAAAAGAGTCTTGATTTCTGGCATTTTTGGAAAAAAAAACAAACAAATGAAATCGTTGCGTTTCATTCAGGTGGCCTGCAGGGGGCGCTTATCTGGGAAAGTCCTGATCCACCTCGCTCGCCTCAATCGAGTGATTTTTTCAAAGTGTGCTCCTTTATAAGAGACCACAGGCACGGAAGAAACTCTTGTCCTTCTCTCTATTTGTGCGGTTGCTACAAGCGTACACCGCACACAAAGATGGCATTTTGACAGCGCTTCTTCTACGATACATATCTCCGTGTATAAACCCGGCAGACTGCACCGCCAGGGTATGTCACGTCCTGTCCCACGTTTGTTATTCGCGCCACTGCCCTGACGTCATATGAAACCCAAGAATAAAAAGATACAAGAAAAGTATCTAAATGAGAAAATAAAGCAACAGTTCTTGAAATAAAACTAAAGAATTATGTCCCATTGGCAAATCTTCAATTCAATTCAATTAATCACAACAATAGTTATCTTGAAAGACTGAACAAAACCGTAGAATTCACCAACACAGATCAGAGAATAAAACGTTTCAAACACAAGAGACCACGCAGTGCAGGAGTCAGGCTGTAGAACGAGGGTCGAAGTCATGCTTTTCTTAAGACAGTCAGAATTAACTCGAATTAAGATAAAAACCCACTTGATTTAAGCATTTAACACCTCATATTTGATCATTTGTTGTGATTTTTCCAGATTAAAGAGGAGGATACTTTACTTTTTTAGTCTGTTTTACCAAAGCCTCATAATTTTCATGATATTTTCACCTCATCTTTTTTGTTTGATTTTATTAAACTAAATTATGTAGGTAGTTATGTAGGTGCGATAGTCGCTTTTGAGCCTGATGGTCATGAGTTGGAGCCCACCAGAAGACCATCTTCACCGACTCCTACTGATGTCTGTTGTCATTGTGTCCTTGGAAGAGACACTTAACACCTCGTTTTTAACGCACCACACAGCAAGCATATACAACGCAAATGTTCCTACATTTCCATTGGTCAGGGATGTTGGGAGTGGGGCGGGTTGAGTGGGGGCTATTACCTTCTCTCGACTGGCTCATTCTACCCACTGTTTTTAATGCACTGCACTATGTAGGGTCTACATACATAACTTTGTTAACATTAAATAAACAGCTTTGGGTAAAAATGGCAGTGACAACAAGACCTAAGAACATCTTTGGTGCTAAATCAGCATTTAAAATTACTATTCATGGAGACGAGTGTAAATTGTATATCTGAGAGAAATATGCCTGTATATCATTTGAACTCCTGTAAAGAGAAAAGTTTGTAACAAGGGGTAGGAAGCATAAGTTTCACTTCTACCTACTCCTTTTCGAATTGTGCATATATATGTTTATATGTTTCTTCTTTTTTTTTTTTTTTTTTTTTGCATTGCGCATGTATTTCGAAATAAACACACTACTACTACTACTACTACTACTACTACTTAACCCCACTTTCCCTTAAGCCCTGATGAAATATCAAGGCCATGCTCTCATCGACAGAGCAACCATTCTCTACCTGCAGGAGGGGCAGTGAGGGGCAGGTGCTCTGTGTATTGGGTGGCAGCTGATTGCCAGAAATGGACAAAAGGGAAGTAAATGGATGGATGGTTGTCTGGATGGTAGATGGATGGATGAATGGATGGTTGTCTCATACCGGTTTTAGAATATCGTGTAGTTTTTTCGCTTAAACAAAGGAGTCTGGTAAACGAGACTGGGACATGACAAAGTGCAAAAAGCAACAATGAAATATTAATATGATGTAGGAGTCCTGAGTGGTGTGTTAGTGGAAGTAAATCTTTGTGACCTAGTGCCACAGAAAGCACCACAGCAATATTCTAACCTTATCGCCCTATAGAGAGCTCATGTCGGGATTGCATCGTACGTTCTAGAAGGAAAAAAGAGCACACACACACACACACACACATAGAAGAACAAGATCACCTTTGCTACATGTTTGATTGAGATTAGCCATGCTTCTTTCATTTTTTGTTATCATAATCAAAAACACAATACCATGAGCTATTTCCACAATATCGCAATAAATATTGTACCAAATCGAATCGAGATTTTGATATTGTTACATCCCTATCATTATATAATATAGACTCATCACACACAAAGTGACATATGCAAACCTTTTTGTTTTTTTATTTTTTATTATTACAGTCCATTCTTAAAATTTGAGTCAAAATGTGTTTTTTACTGTGAGCCAATTGTCAAAATCACTACAAACAAACTCTCAATACATTTTTACAGTTGAAAAAACATCCATCCATCCATCCATTTTCTTCCGCTTTATCCGTTGCCGGGTCGCGGGGGCAGCAGTCTAAGCAGAGACGCCCAGACTTCCCTATCCACACACACTTCCTCCAGCTCATCCGGGGGGACCCCAAGGCGTTCCCAGGCCAGCTGAGAGACATAGTCCCTCCAGCGTGTCCTAGGTCTTCCGCGGGGCCTCCTCCCGGTGGGACGTGCCCGGAACACCTCCCCAGGGAGGCGTCCAGGAGGCATCCGGAACAGATGCCCGAGCCACCTCAACTGGTTCCTCTCGACGTGGAGAAGCAGCGGCTCTACTCCGAGCTCCTCCTGTGTAACTGAGCTCCTCACCCTATTTCTAAGGGAGCGCCCAGCCACTCTGCGGAGGAAGCTCATTTCGACCGCTTGTATCCGCGATCTCGTTCTTTCGGTCATTACCCAAAGCTCATGACCATAGGTGAGGGAGGGAACGAAGATTGACCGGTAAATCGAGAGCTTTGCCTTTCGGCTCAGCTCCCTCTTTACCACAACGGTCCGATACAGCGACCGCATCACTGCGCACGCTGCACCGATCCGCCTGTCAATCTCACGCTCCATTCTTCCCTCACTCGTGAACAAGACCCCGAGATACTTGAACTCCTCCACTTGAGAAAGGACCTCTCCACCCACCTGCAGAGGGCAAGGCACCTTTTTCCGGTCGAGCACCATGGCCTCGGATTTGGAGGTGCTGATTCTCATCCCAGCCGCTTCACACTCGGCTGCAAACCGTCCTAGTGCATGCTGCAGGTCCTGGTTCGTTGGAGCCAACAGGACAACATCGTCCGCAAACAGCAGAGATGAAATCCTGTGGTCTCCGAACCGGACCCCCTCCGACCCCTGGCTGCGCCTAGATATTCTGTCCATAAATACAGTGAACAGAACCGGTGACAAAGGGCAGCCCTGTCGGAGGCCAACATTCACCGGGAACAGGTCTGACTTACTGCCGGCAATGCGAACAAAGCTCTGGCTCCGGTCATACAGGGATCGGATGGCCCTCAGCAGAGGACCTCCGACCCCGTACTCCAGGAGAACCCCCCAAAGGACACCCCGGGGAACACAGTCGAACGCCTTCTCCAAATCCACAAAGCACATGTGGACAGGTTGGGCGAACTCCCATGAACCTTCGAGTATCCGATGGAGAGTATAGAGCTGGTCCAGTATTCCGCGACCGGGACGAAAACCACACTGCCCCTCCTGGATCCCAGATTCGACCATCGGCCGTAGCCTCCTCTCCAGTACCTTGGAGTAGACATTACCGGGGAGGCTGAGGAGTGTGATCCCACAATAATTGGAACACACCCTCCGGTCCCCCTTCTTGTAGAGAGGGACCACCACCCCGGTCCGCCACTCCATTGGCACTGCCCCCGATCGCCACGCGATGTTGCAGAGACGTGTCAGCCAAGACAGTCCTACAACATCCAGAGATTTTAGATAATCAGGGCGGATCTCATCCACACCCGTAGCCTTGCCACCATGAAGGCTACCAACCACCTTGGTGACCTCAGCCAGGGAGATGGATGTATCCGCCCCAACATCCTCAGCCTCTGCCTCTGAAACAGAGGACGTGTTGGCAAAGAACTGCTTCCCCCGCCTGAGGCGCCGGATGGTTTGCCAGAATCTCTTCGAGGCCGACCGATAGTCATGCTCCATGGACTCTCCGAACTCCTCCCAGTCCCGGGTTTTTGCCTCTGCAACAGCCCGGGCCGCGGCACGCTTGGCCTGCCGGTACTGGACAGCTGCCTCAGGAGTCCCCCGAACCATCATGGCTCGATAGGACTCCTTCTTCAGCCTGACAGCATCCCTTACTGCCGGTGTCCACCACCGGGTTTGGGGGTTGCCGCCGGGACCAGCACCAGAGACCTTGCAACCACAGCTACGAGCCGCCGCATCGGCGATTGAGGCAGAGAACATGGTCCACTCGGACTCCATGTCCCCCTCCTCCGCCGGGACCTGGGAGAAACTCTCCCGGAGGTGTGAGTTGAAAGTCCGTCTGACAGGGGGCTCAGCGAGACGTTCCCAGCAGACCCTCACTATACGCTTGGGTCTGCCAGGTCTGACCGGCTTCTTCCCCTGCCAGCGGATCCAACTCACGACCAGGGGTGATCGGTTGACAGCTCCGCCCCTCTCTTTACCCGAGTGTCCGAGACACGCGGTCGAAGGTCAGATGATACGACAACAAAGTCGATCATCGACCTCCGGCCTAGGGTGTCCTGGTGCCACGTGCACTGATGGACACCCTTGTGCTCGAACATGGTGTTCGTGATGGACAAACTGTGACTGGCACAGAAGTCCAACAACTGAACACCGCTCGGGTTCAGATCAGGGGGGCCGCTCTTCCCGATCACCCCTCTCCAAGTG